GGAAAAGTGTATATTATCTGTGCAAATTCAAATATATTGGTAACTCATGATTAAATATTAATTTGTGATCCACCCAATATCACCTAATGTATAATATCTGTATTAGTGTAAAATTAAAAAATATAATCAATATGCATCGAAAAAAATTCATATTAAATATAAAATATTCATATTAAAAAAATTAAAATTTTTATTTATATTTAATATGAATTTTTTGATGCATATTGATTATATTTTTTAATTTTACACTAATACGGATGTTATATATTAGGTGATATTGGGTGGATCGCAAATTAATATTTAATCATGAGTTACCAATATATTTGAATTTGCACAGATAATATACACTTTTCCAATGACATGATAGTATTAGAGCGCGGTTATTTATTCATAAAGGGTCTTTTTAAAGACCGTTAAAAGTAAAGAAAAATATAGCTAACTTGCAGAGTTTTTCCTTTCCATAAATGGCCCATTCTCTTTTCCTTGCATGTTATAGCCCTTTCCTCTTTCTGGAGAAAGTCAAAGAAAAACAATGCAGCCATATTATAAAAATATATTTTTTTGATTTTGGGTTTATTACCACTTTAATTCCAGATTGTCCGTGTAGTCACATGATAAGTGCTGTCCTTTTTTTTGGTCCGGTGTCATGAGATTTAACATCGCAGAAGAGTGCACAAGTTGTACCATGTGAGTGACATTCTATGCAACATATAAATGAATACACCTTCAAGTTATGAGATTTAACATCGTAAGATAGAATTATTTTTTATTATTATTATTTTACAAAGCTTTACACTTGTACATTTACATATGTCCAATTGTTTATGTAATACCGCTTTGGAGTTAAAACACAAAATGCCATTACATTAATGGACAGAGTCTTATTTTTCATTATTATTTTACCTTGTCACAGGTACATGAAATCTAATGTTTTTATTTTGATAAATGACCACATAACTATGTCAACTGCTTAATATATACATGTATAAAACCATGATTAGCTTGTACTGTATGTGGCACATGTATTGAAAGAAAAAGCCTGCAGATTTGTTTGCATTTGTAAAATATCAGCATATTTGAAATAATTAGGTACAGACATGCTGTCACCCAGTGTGGGAGTGGGATTTCCAACCATCCTGCAATGGCTATAAGAAGGCAAAGATGTTAAACCTACACCTTAAGGAAAGCCTCATTCGCAAAATGGCAAAGGGCACTGATGAAACCTACCTGGTCGTCGGCCAGAAAGAAGATGCTGACTTCGACTGCTGTGCGCTTGCATTAAGAAAGGATTATTAACTTTGCAGGTGAAAATTTACATTGAAGCTGTGTTTTCCTGAGACTTAGCACAAAAGACTCTTGTTAGTAATATGGGAAAAAAAAGCAAGATGACTGAATAAAACTACCCAGGGATAATATAGGAATTGATTGGAGCCAACATCATAGCTACAACTTAAAGGCCCAGTGAAACTAAAAAAAAAAAAAAACCCAGGGATAATAAAAAAAAAAATAAAAACATAAAAAAAAAAAAAAAAAAAAAAAAAATATGACTGATATTGAATTAATTGTATTGGCTCACTATTTGTTCCATTAATAAAGACCCACAGCCATCAGAAATCTCCTTTGTGTGTTTTTCAGTTAACAATCTGCCCAATCAGTTTTGAAGGTGGCTTTTTTTTTTGGCCAACCTGCTGGTGTTAAATTGAGCTGGTAAAGGCATCCAGCTGGAGTTGATTGCAGATCTTCCAGGGGCTAAGTATACCTAAAGTAAGGCCATTTATATTCAAATGATGCAGCAGATCCCTAAGACTGTATACGATGCTATCATAATATGATTATGCTTTAGGTGAACACTTTTAGGCCCACCCAGCAAGTAGACCTATATAGGCGGGGGAGCAGGGGCGGACTGACAACTCATGGGGCCCCCGGGCAATAGGGGATCATGAGGCCCCTGTGTCCTTGCCCAAACTCAAAAAAAACCTATGAAAAAGGTACCAGGGGCATCTCATGGGGCCCCTACTGACTCCAGGCCCTCGGGCAGTGCCCGAGTTTCCAAATGGTCAGTCTGCCCCTGGGCGGGAGTGAGGCCGGGTGGTGGGCACCCCAGAGGGAAGGCACAACATACTGAGGTCTGAGAATACAAGGAAGCTAATTTTCAAGAATGTTCCAATCATACTATGACATATAGTACATGTAGTGTACATGTAGTGGCTTTAACACTCACAGATGATTATGCAGTACTAGCGGAGAGCAATGCCCAAGGATCAGCAGCAATTGTCACAGAAAGCAGCTAGTAGACTGTGATGCACAAGGCATTAGAAACACACAGAGCTTCCATACAAAGGTATTGGCAAACAGTCCCTATTCTGTCCCTCCTCCTCTGGAACTTTTCCATGCACTAGGCACACTTTTCCTAACAAGCGGATTCCTACCCCTCACCCGACCACATACAAAATGCATGCCAACTGCAGTGAGCCAATGCATTTTATAGGCACTGCCCTCACTAAAGATGGCCGCAGAGGGCAGCAGCTTCCAATCGAACAACCGCTCACCCGATGACATGTACGGAGGCCTAAAAGGAATGTGAATTCCTCCTGTCTTCTACTCTCTCTGCATGGTGGTTGTGGATAGCACCACCTATGTAGGGAGGTCAACCTACCCTACACCTGCCTACAGACCTGTGCCCCCCAGTTTTTTCAACATGGAAGTGACCCATTTACCGGCTAAAAACAGGGTGGATCTATTTTGTGGTTTGGTTTCCCCCAGTTATGAACTAGGAGTCTATAGTGGTTATTAAGTATCTGCATCCCAGTTTGAGGAAACCTATTCACTGTCGCTCAAATAGAGCCACGAAAAAAAAGATCTAAAAACATTGTGATCCATGAAATCTTTTTATGACGATGTGTCCATAACATTTAGAGCTGTCCATAATTTTCTGACCAGTTATATATTAAAAAAAAAAAGTAGACCCCCTGCTAACAGGGTGGAACTATTTTGTGGTTTGGTTTCCCCAGTTATGATCTAGGGGTCCATAGTGGTTATTACATCTCTGCACATCCCAGTTTGGGGAAACCCTATTCACTGTCGCTCAAAAAAGAGCCATGAAAAAAAAGATCTAAAAACATTGTGATCCATGTAATCTTTTTATGAAAATGTGTCCATAAAATTTAGAGCTGTCCATAATTTTCTGACCAGTTATATATTAAAAAAAAAAAATGTGATCTTGACAGCCCTGATCAGAGGGTCATGACTAATAGCAAGCATATAACTTTCATCTTTCACTGTGTAATGCTCAGTAGAATTTTCTTATAGCCCTGCAATGCTGTATGTTGTGTTTTTCTTTAAACCCTTTTTTCTTAGTGGAAGTGCACTTTTTGCTCTTCCAGTTCAGTGCCTTATGCAGGCCAAGGTTAGTATTAGTCACAACCAGAGCTTTTTTTTCTCAGAGAATAAGTGCAGGAACTCCCCCCCCCCCCCCAACCTCCTCCAAGTCACCCTGTGTTTCCACCCCTACCCACCTCCTAGCACTGTTCCTTGGTTCCACCCCCTACTCAGCTCCCAGTACTGCCCCCTTTAGAGAATACAGAACCAAGTATTATTTTGCGGTGCTAAGTAATTTGTATGTTTTTTTTTTTATGATAACAGACAGTAAAATAGATCCCCTGTAGCTAGCAACAATAGACCTCCCTAAAGCAACAGTAGACCCCTGCCAACATAAATTCCCTCCGGAAACAATAGATCCGCCAGCAACAATAGACCTCCTCAGCAACAAGAGACCAACAATTCACTCCCCATCAACAATAGAACCACCCCAGCAGCAACAGACTTCCAGCAGCCAGCTTCAATAGACATCTCACCCAGCAACAATTTCCCCCGGCAACAATAGACCCCCTGCAAAAAATAAAAGCCCCTCCAGCAACAATAGATCCCTCAGCACAATTGTTATTATATACATTTAGTGCTGGAGGTGCCAGAACTGCATCCCCCTGTGTTCCTGCTGAAAGAAACCCTGGCCACAACCCTCTTTACAAGCAGACCTGTAGCACAAGGAAGGGAGAGAAGAGGTATGTCTGTCTAGGTCTGTTCCATTGCAAAGTGCACTGGGCAGTGTGGCCAAACTGTGATGCGCTTTGGACTAAACAGGCAAATAGTTGCATGCTCAGTAAAAGACAATTAAAATGGAGGGTGTTAGTATAGTGCATATCTGAATATCTGTTTCCTATTACTAACTTTAGGTTTTAACCACTTGTGTCCACAAGGCTGTTTTGGAATGGTGCATGGATAGCCACTATTCACCTGAGAGATGCCCCATGACCATTTTAAAATAGTAGCTAGTCTCAGTGGCTTCTGCTGGTTCTAGCAGATTTAAAGTGGTTTTATATATATATATATATATATATATATATATATATATATATACCCAGTGAAGTGACTAGCCTTAGGCGATGAAACAAATCCTCCTACATACGTTGTACCTGTTTATCTGCTGTATTCTCTTCTCCACATCTGTTCAATGTGCAGAATTTATACAGCTTGCCTGAGCTTCTGAGAAAGCAGGGGTGTGGGAGCTGAGCTTACACTCAGCAGAGCTCAATGAGGAGAGCTGAGACCTTATTGGAGGGAAGGGACCCCCCCCCCCCTTCACACAGCTCACAGGAACAGATGTGAGGTTGTCAGCTATAGGCTGGAGTTCCCTCCCCTGTTACTTTTTTTCTCTTGGTGTCAGGAAAAATTGTCATAAGGGACTGCAGATAGCAAGTACAAACTGTAGAGGGATACGCTTTGTTCATATTTCATGTCTGAGGTTTACAACCACTTTAAAGGCTAAGTTCACATTTACAAAAAAAAAAAAAAATAAATAAATGCACATATTTTTGCAGAAAAAAATTTTATTTTATTTTTTTTTTCCTGCAGGAGCCTGGAAAGCATTGCACCTGCAATCAGTAGATTAGTAGTTCAATGAGAGTTCTTGTAGACATGTCCTCCAGCTTTCAGCTCATATCTTTGTACAGGCTTTCTGTTTGAAAGCCAAATGACATGTCAGTGGACTACCATAAGTCAATCTGCCACAGTGGCAGACTATATATGAAATGTATGCATTCCCAAAAATTTGTGAATGAATGATGCGGCTACATCGACAGAGCCAGGGGCGGACTGACCATTTGGAAACTCGGGCACTGCCCGAGGGGCCTGGGGTCAGTAGGAGGCCCCATGAGATGCCCCTGGTACCTTTTTCATAGGCTTTTTTGAGTTTGGGCAAGGACACAGAGGCCCCATGATCCCTTATTGCCCGGGGGGCCCATGAGTTGTCAGTCCGCCCCTGGACAGAGCTCAGCACATACGGACTGTTTATAAAAAGTAGTGGGTGGGGTGAGAAGAACGCCCACCAACGGTCACAGGGAAGGAGGGAATGGAGGAAGAGGGAGCAGGAGCTGGAACATGTTCCACCCTTAATATGGGTGGAACATTAAATATGTTTCAAAGGTGAACTTAGCCTTTAATACTAGAGCTGTCACAAGTGATGTCACATCAGTTATTTTGAGTATGGAGGCGGGGACAGAGCTGTTTCAGTTCAGCAATTGATCAGCAATAGATCACTGCTAGCAATATCTATTGCTGGCTGATTGCATCCAGCGATTGATCAACATTAGACGTGATTATCTGCTACACAGCTGCACATGTGGGTCTGCGCCTGCACTTCACCGAGCAAATCCAGATCCCCCCCATGAAAAAATTGTGTAACAAATTTAGGAAAGTATAAATAAATTATAGATATATTTAATCTCCAGGTTCTAACAATGAGGTTGGATAATCTAAATGACATTTGCATTCACTGTACAAGCATCAAGTGCTTATGTAAGTGAATGTATTGTCAAGGAGATTTAGGGAGAAGAAGGCCTGAGGACTAAAGAGGTTAAATAAGTGAGGTCTAGTTGCTATGGGTCGCTGTCTTTAGGATGTCTTTGCTGTTTGTGCTGCCTTATAAAACATGTTTGACGCCGTAACATTTTTCAGCTCACAGTGGTGTATTTTATTAGTCTACTTCATTAATAACTATCATAGCCAACAAATAAATTAGGCATGAACTGTTCAAATTTAAAGTTCTTTCGCCTTTCCTTGTTTTTCCTTTTCTGCTTTATTGTTTATTTCTTTATCTGATATACAGTAAAGGGTCATCCGTTCAAATTTGTACTCCTCATTAAATTTAATATGAAGCTTACAAATACAGAAGAAAACATGGTTCGTTGGTTTCAGTATAATACATTATTAAAGTGAGTGTTTTAAGAGATAAAAACTGCACAGACTACGCCCCTGCTCGTACCAATTTCTAAAAGTAGTAAGTCATTACGTTGGAAGATTGTTGTTTTTGACTTGCAGTTCTGAGTCTCTACAGGTGCTTAGCAATCATCTTTCACTTAGCTGATTCCAGTGAGTTTCTTTTGATAGTAACAGATAGGACTAGCCAACCATTGACTGGGGTGAGATTATATGTAGGTAATCAGGTTTTTAGTACTGCAGTTTTGCAATATGTAGGGCAAAGCAACACGTTCACTTTAAAGTGATCCTGTCACGTACAAAAATGCACTAAGCAAAGAGAAGACATGTAAAAAAGAGGATGACTATTTACACCTTCTGCTGTCCGTTCTGCCCAATTCTACTTCATTACAGAGAACCGTGCCACTGAAGTCCACTGAGAAACCAACATTTTTGGAAGTGTCAATCTTCATGGTGCGTCCAAGATCACTGGTTCCTTTCACTAGCCATTTGCAATCATTGTCTTTTACAATGCATGAAGTCATAGAGAGGAACCAGTGAGAATTACGGAGAACAACAGAGATTGACGCTCCTAAAGGTATTGGTTTCCCAGTGGATTTTTGATTACTGGAGATTATTTGTGCTAATTCACTTATGTTTGGTGTGGATTGAAGCTCAGGTTTCACAGCTAATTGATACAGTAGTTGTTCAGAAGTTCAGGTCAGGATTACATGAGGTTCAGAACACGTTTAGATCAGGTTCAGGTCAGGATTTGACATGTTCACAACTGATGACAAATGAAACAGTTCCGTAGAAGTCAATAGCCTGTAATCCGCAAATAAACTGAAACCACACTGCTCAGACATCGAACATGTTTTTTTTTTTCAATCCACTGGACATATGTGAACAAACACCATAGGAAGCAATTTTATTTCACATGTCATGCAGATTGGATGCGGTTCAAAATGTATTAAATTTACATACATGTGAACAGGTATTTTTCCTAAAATAGAGCAGCGTTGAGTTTTGTAGGTGACAGGAGAGGCCATTATTCAACCTCTTATTTAGAGACATATTCTTTGTTGAAACCATTTTATTACACAATTAGGTTGGTTTAATGTCCTTCCAAGTTATGCATGCTCTTCTTTCCTTTGCTTCAAAGATCTGTGTAAGTTCTAGCCAGACCTTGGGTTGGAGCTTATATTGGTCTTTCTACTCCCATATCACAGCACTTGGCCAATTACCAGGCACCACCACTGTAACATGGAGTCAGCACATACCTCTCTATGCCTGAAATAAAATGGTATTTTCGTAACTCCCAACAGCAGAATGAAGCACTAGGAAGTGAAGGAAAATTAGTATATATGGAGCTGGGGTCCAGGTGTTCCTATCTGTTCCCATGCCCTGGGCAAATTGTGTTTGGAATATTACAAATGTATTTTTTTCCTTGGTACTTAAGCCTACGGTCTTTGAAAACTTGAGCTTTTCTTTAGATATGACCTTTTTAATCCCAGTTGCAACACAGGTTTCAGTGATCAGCATTCAATAATAGCTCTCTGAGACATTGCTCAATACCATTTAACTTAGAGAAAATGCCAAGCATGAGCAGATGTATTTGCTATGTACTGACTGATAGATCAATGTGTCACTAGATGTGTCGGTAAAGCTAGCACATCTCTCTGTTGTTTAAGGATGCTGCTAAACCCAACTGGAGCAAGAGGAAGGAAACCCACTTTGTACTTGGCTGCCGGGAATCGAAAAGCATTAGTGTTTTGTTAAGGCAAGGGCAACTTCAGGTAAAATCAATCAGTGAGCTATTAGGTCAGTTCAGGAAACATTGCTGATATCCAATCATTTTACCCTAAAGCTGAACTCTATCCAGATTTATTCTTTAAAAATTAATGAAATGCATTCATAAATGTAACTTGTGTAAGCACCTGACTTGACCCTGGAAAGACTCTTCAGTACAGCATGACTGAGACCTGGAGCATGAGGATCAGCATTGGAGGATCAGCATTGGAGCTGAAATTGTTTCTGTAGACTGTTTCTGCTTCTGTAGACCTGAGATTGAACATACATACTGTATAGGAGGATGAACAGAATGATGAACTCATCAGCTTGCTTTTGTTTCTTCCCCATCCAACCAGAAAGTTGACTTTGACCAAGCTGTGCCTGTCTGGCAAGGTTTCTTGATCACTAAATAGTTTTTTCTGTTTGGTGTTTAGCATTAGCAACTAGGCTATGTTCAAATCGAAAGGCCCAGTAAACATAGACTTAAAAATGATGATTCCCTACAGTAGCATGGCACAGTGATTAATTGCAGATTTACACAATATTGGAATATTGTGTAATCAGACTGTAATATGTGAAAGCGGATTTTCACCAATAAATTGAAAGTCCCTCCTGGCCACCCCTCTACTACCTGTATACCATTTTTTTTTTTTTTTTACCCTTTTTTATTTAATAAAAGGGTTCATTCCCACCTCCAACACACATTATTCGCCTAGACAAATGATGAGTACTTGTCTGCTGTGCCTACTAGGATATGTACGTCATGTATTTAAGGAGCCCTTAGCATTTCATTCACAGAGGAGGAGGGCGGGCCTAGTGGTGCATCATTAAGAGGCCCGCTGGCTGAACCCAGAAGAACCTGTGGGATTCCCAATGACATCATACACAAGCATGGTGCCTCAAGACCCAAGCTTCTGAGAAGAGGATCTTGGCAGGACAAAGCTGGATCAGCTGAGTGCAGGGGTGGACTGACCATTTGGAAACCATTTGAGGGCCCGGGGTCAGTAGGGGGCCCCATGAGATGCCCCTGGTACCTTTTTCATAGGCTTTTTTGAGTTTGGGCAAGGACACAGGGGCCCCATGATCCCCTATTGCCCGGGGGCCCCATGAGCTGTCAGTCCGCCCCTGTCGCTGACATTGGGATTCCACACAGACTCTCCTTCTTGCCACCAGAAAGAGATCCCAGTGGGTTTGATCTACTAAAGGCAAATAGGCTGTTTATTCTGCAATGAAAGTTGCAATTTTCAAGGAAATTTACCCAAGAGTTTAGTGAATGAGGCAAAGCTCTGCTGTCTTTCACCATTCAATCATGTGGAGGCCCAAATGTAGTTTTTTTTTTTCTTTTTCTCGCATATGATTATGTATTAACAAAATACTCACTACAATACTATATACTTTTGGAACTGTGGTGAACATTTAAAATACACGTTAGGCAGCTGTTTTAATTAAATTGCAAACAAATGGCGACTTCTCACAAGCCAGCGACAAATACCTAAAACAATAATTGAATTAACCACTTCCCGTCCGGCCCATGTATATAAACAGCCAGACGGAGCAGTGCAGGGGCGGGTGGCCATTTAGAAACGTCTCTTTTTCTTCCAAGAGTGGGAAAGTGTCTGGTGGAGGGAGTCATTAAGGCCATCTGGCAGGGGGTCTTCATGAGGAATTTGAGGTGTGAATGGTCATTAACATATCTTTTGTTTCCAAGGGTGGGAGAGGGCAGAAGTGTGAATTGGTCATTCCAATGTGTGACAAGCTTGGTAGGAACATCCTGTGTTCAGTGTTTTGTCCATCTGTGTCAGGGATGCGGGTGTGACCAGAAGTGTGCGGACTGACACAGGGAAAGGTAGGCTTCAGATATAGTAAATAATATAATTTATTGAGACTAACAATACAAATATAAACGCAGTGCACCAAACCCCAAGCTAACACAAATACATACAACAAGGTGAAACAAACCCAAACCTAAACTGATATAGATACACAGGTACATACACATATAGAGCACAACGTAGTCAGGCAGGCCGGGTCGATAACTATCGGGCA